TATATTTTGCCATCCCAATTTTTCAATGTAGAAGCGATTATTATGGAGACTGGAACTTTCAGAGCCAGGTGTGAAGCCAGGGATATAGCTTAACTTTTCTGGTTTTCTCATTCGAACTCCCATATGAGGGTCACATGAGAGATAGAAATTCTTCACCAGAATTGCTTTGGACCCTTCTGGTACCTTGAGTTTAATGGAGCTTGACACCATTTCCATGTCTGTTTCTTTGGTAAGACCTGTCACATAGTCCTTGAATATGATCTGCTTGTCACTCACCTCTTCCCCAGTTGCCATTTTTTGCAGCAAAGAGGATACAAGGATTCCAATTCCTCGTTCTCTCTCTAAGGAAAGGAAAAGCCCAATTGTTGTTTATCTCTCTAAAGCCGAGTACCCACTTTCTGAGACCCTCTCTCTCTAAAGCAGATATCCCTCTCTCTTTCTCTCTCTCTCATCTGCCTTGCATTAATTCAGTCTCTCTCAGCATTGTATTAATCGACTCTCTCTGTTGCGACCTGCTCGTAAAGCCATGCATAAAACGCCAATGAATGAGCAACAATTACTCGAAGATTATTTTTTTGACAGCCAAAAGAGTCCTTTTGTATTTTTGTGCTCGTATATTATGTTCCCTCGGGGGCATTACTGTGGATCTACTCTCTCATCCAAAAGACCTACTTAAGAGGATTTTTTCGATCTTAAAGTTTGGAAACCACTTTTCAGTTGATAATTATTTTCAAAATAAAAAAATGGCTCTACAAAGAGACATTTTTAGTTTTTTGACACTTGGATCTCGTCCTTTAAAAACCTGACGGTGTTTGTTCAACCTTGAGACGTTGTTTTTTTTTTGTACGTAGAGATCTCAATTTTCTTTTTATAGGAGTTAGCCTATGGGTTGAAGAGGTTGCAAATCCAAGATTTGGAGTCCTAAAATTTCTCCTATATTAGGTTTTAAGCGAAGGAGTAAATCGACAAAGTATTATGATGGGGAGTGTAAAATCTTTTATATTTTTTGAAAGTGGGAACATATGGTTGGTGGTGGTCTAGCAAGACCATGAAACATTGTAATCTATAGGAAATTTTACATCATTACCTTGATTCAACCTATGAATATGATCAATTCCACAATAAAATGGAAAGATAATTTCTTGGAGCTAATTATTAAAAGAAAAAGATTTCTTGGAGATAGGTACGCTCCTCAGGATCAATTCCCCCTCAAAGATGGACCTTTATTGTCCATTTGAGGGGCCATAAATCCAGGGTTTAAGAGCTCAGAACCATATTTTTCCTTCAAATTTGTCCCCAAGGTAAAATAAAAAACGATAAAAAAATGTTAAGATAAAAAAAACTCCTAAGCTATGTTTTTTGGGGGATAGACCACCTAATTAGGTCTAATCCATAAATCTTTCTTCCAAGTTTTCAAAGAAAAAAAAAGGTAAAAATCTCCTATTTATGGAGCATAGGGCCTGTCGATCTCCCATAAATTATGATCTATATAGTCAGTAAAGCCCATGACCACAAGGTTATCATGGTCCAGGGAATAGAATAGATGGTGATGGAGTGGTAGGTATTCGGTAAGAGGCACATCCATATGTGATTTTTCTTTACTATAGTCTTCTCCTACACTTTGGGAAATTTATCCAAATAATTATGAGAGATGAACTATTTAATATAGCAATTAGTAAGCATGTTAAATAGTTGATGTCTAATGGGATTTTGATAAATTTTCCTTAATTTATTTTAAAATTTAGACTTCAAAGGTGGGTATTTAAAAGAAAATCAGTGATTCTTGGGCTTGCTTGGGCATGCCAAAGGATGGACCTTATCTCATTGTTTTCTTCGTTGGAGGCAAGATTTATAACTTCCAAATCCAACAATTAGTCTTTGTGATTTATTCATGGAAATTTATCTAAATACCCATGATAGGTGAACTATTTGATATCCTACGCCTCTTGGCTTAATTTTAAAATACCGATCAAAATCATATAATCATATTAATTTTAAAATACCGATCAAAATCATATAATCATAACTTAGAATAGTTCCAATTAGGTAATACGTTAAATAGTTGATCTCTTATGGGTATTTTGATAAATTTTCTTTTTATTTACTGTTGAAAACATTGGGCTCTCTTTGACCCAATGTTACCCCATTTTGGCCGCAATGAATATTTTAGTCGGCGTTCGCAAAGTCAGCTGAGTAGTTTGTACTAGGCCCAATTACTTGGGCTTGGTTGTCCAACTCGGAGATATTAAAAAATTACAAAAAATTATTTAAAATAAAGAATTTGGAATATGTTTTCTATGTTTTTTATCATTTTGAGGAAGATTGGAACGACCATAAAGACTTATTTTTACGTTTTCTCATATTTTTTGGATTACTTTAAAAATACATCACGTTGATTTTTTTTTAAAATCTATTCTTTTACTACGTTTTTAACCTCATTTTGATGCATGTTGCTTAATCTTACTTTAAACATACATTTTCTATTTTTTGTAATTTTTTTAACCATTTTTTTGTTGCTACCGCACTTGGCACTACTCGGACAGAGTTAGTCCGACTCTGAAATGCCTCCCAATTAGGGCCAAACATGTCATGGGGTGCGCTAAACTAGCCTAGAGCCCTTAAATCATCTTAACTTTGGTTTTTTTGTAGGCGAGAAAAATTAAATCCAATTTGAAGGGATCTGAAGTTGACATTGGATAAATTAGTGAATTTCAAATCATGGTCAAATCTTTCATACTGACCCTCAATTAAACTTGGCTATGTACTTCATCTGCTTAGAACAAGTGTGTTCAGACTTGAGACAAAAATTGAGAAATTTAGGCAAGTTTTTGGCTCAAAATCAGAAGAAAAAAAATCTGATGGAAAAAATGGTTTAATAGATGGCATTCATGGATAGGCTTCAATCCATATCTTAGCACCTTTTCTCCACCAAAATTCTAAACCATGGAGAAAACTAACCCCAACAACCAAACATAAAAACCAATATTGGCACGGTAAACGACCAATGTTTTAATCCTTCATATTGAACGGATATAATCAGTGTTGGATAAGAAAGACTGGGGTTGGGACTCACTAAGGTCCCAAGTCAGAGTCTCGAGGCCAACCAAAAAAAATTAATAAATTTCCCCATGTGTATAATTCCAGGCTCTCCAGCTAGTCTGAGTTTTCTAAGTGGACTAGCCCGAGTTTTCTAACAATGGATGTAATAAAAACAAGATATGCATATTCAACTCATAATACGCAGAAAGTAACACTACTTGTTTGCCAATACATTACAACAAACACACATAATGATAGCAATGTGTTCATCCTTCATATGAAGGAATCTAACTGTAACAATATACATATTTTCTCGCAAGAGAATAATACATTAACATAGAGAAAAATATGCATCAGTTGCAAGTGGGATTCTCACTTCTCGACACATCAACAGTAATACAGACATTCATAAAGATGTCTTAGTCTTTCAAATAAGGGAATACAACTACATATGCATATATATTTTAGTCTGGGAATTACATGAAAAAACAGTAACAATATTCAATTATTTATCATTCGCGAGCAAGTAGGACCACCTGCTTGCCAACATTTCGGCCAGAGAAGAGCCCAATGAGGGCCGAGGGCGCACTCTCGAGGCCTTCAACAATGTCTTCCACATAAACTATCTTCCCTTCTATGATACTCTTGCTTATGTTCTCAACAAACTGAGGATACAAGTGCCAGTGATCAAACACCAGTAAACCTTCCATTCGAATGCGCTTTGATATGAGGCAGAAGAGATTGAACACTCCCTCTGGCTTCTCTCGGTTGTATTGAGAGATCAACCCACAGACAGCGATCCGGCCTTTCTCTCTCATGTTTAAAAGCACCGCGTCGAGCATGGGGCCGCCAACGTTCTCAAAGTAGATGTCTATGCCTTGCGGAAAGCACCTGATAAGGAGAAAGATAATGAAAAAGAGAGTGAGATCCTTGCCATGATTCATGTTATAAGAGAAAAACTATATTATCTAATAAGAAATTACAATGTTTTATTATAATTAATTGTGGATATGTCGAGCACTGTTGGCTTTTTAAGCCAGCACACTAGATACCTCCGATAGTTTTAGACACCAACACTTTTGTTGGTGTCTGTGTAACATTGCTTCAAAATGGTAGTAGGACTCGCAGCAATTCTGATTTCATTCATTAATAGAAGTGGTTCAGTCTATTGGTTCATCTTTTCATACATTTGCTACTTTAGTAATCATATAATGATCAAGGGTGACTCTTTGAATGCGATCCAATGGCTTAATGGAAAGCGTGCCACTCATTAGTGGCCCGGAGTCATTTTTAGCAATTGTAAGAGTGCAAATTTGTAAAATACGAATGGATTTTCATTATAGACATTGCAGTCTCCAGTGCAAATCACAATTATGGTGCATTGATCGGTCAAAGATGCGGCTTTCAAAGCCGCATCTTTCTGATCTTCCAAAGTGGGAGCTTCCATAGGGGAGCATAGAAGTCGCCGCTACCCTTTTTACACACCATTTTGGAAGCTGCGGGAAACAGAGGCTTCCAAAATAGCTTAGCTAGTACAGCTATCGTCCTGAGCTACAGAAGTGTCTCAAAAGAGTCAGGTCAATTGATAATTCTATGGTAATCTGATAAAATTGTGTATACTGTTTGGAAACAGAGCATATACCGTTTCAATGCGGCCACCAAGTCATTCTCTTCTTTATAGTTGAAAGCTTCATCAAACCCAAATTTGGTTTTTAATAACTCAACCTGGAATATCCATAGGATTCATCTGAGTTTCCATGCCTTTCCATCAAATATTAACATGTCATAAAATGGATAGAAGAGATAAAACTTAGTGGTAGCTTACCTTTTCTTTGGAACCAGCACTTCCAACGACATAGCAACCTATAGACTTCGCAAATTGCCCGACAAGTTGGCCAACTGCCCCTGATGCAGCGGAGACATATACATTTTCTCCTTTCTTTGGAGAGCAAAGCTCGAAAAGTCCAGCATATGCTGTGAGGCCAGGCATACCTACGAAGCAATCCAAAATCTTTAATACATTTCTCCAAATTAGAAAATTTTCGCTTACACAGAGTAAGGGGATGGTTCCATGAACATTTCATGAATACATTCACACATGCACAAACTGATATATATCTCTCTCACTTTATGTTAAAACGAGATTCAGTGGGCCTGATGCCAATACTTCATCTTATACATGAATTATGATTCGGTAACACTGCATTGAAGTAGAGAACTTTCAGGTAGATTTCTCACCACTGATAATGTTAATGGAGGGTAGGTATTAGCATACATGATATGTTCGGTTTACCATACGCAAAGGGGCATCCACCACCCATCATCCACAATGGACAGTCGAGAAGAACATTAAGTGGTTTCTTGGACTCTGGTGGACTTTCAAGAGGAACCGGGGTTCATCCCCACCATCCATTGGGAAGGACAGATGGTGTCTACCATAGATTCATTATATTTTCTCATAAATTCAGCAGTGAAAACATTCAGACCAAATGCTTTGCAGCTGCTGCAAGCACAATTCTGATAATCATTGCTTCCATTTTAGGTTACTAAAATCGATTATCTATCATAGGGAAATTGGAAAACAAAAAAAGTACCTAAAATGCCAGTGTAGTAAGAAAGAGGCACATCAGTAAATGTGATTTTTCGAAGTGTTTCAGGCATAGATATCAAGCTAAACTCTTCCCATCCAGTCATCCCCCATACAAGATCACCTTCCTTAAGATCAGGATATCCAGAATCCACAACTTTAGATACTCCAAAACCAGTTATGACCTGCAAAAGGTTAAAATTTTGAAATAGTTACAACTCAATAGCACAAATTGAAATTTGTGATGATCATAAATTTGGTAAGCATAATCACCATTTTCCTCTCTTTTCTGAGTAACACTTAACAATTGTATTAAAATTAAGGTAGTAAATAACTAAATACAATAGAGACCCACAAGTCGGGCTCTGTAATCACAAAAATGAGGCACACTGAAAGACACCCCGCAAATCAGAAGTATGGGTTGTATTGACTCCTGAAGAAGACTGGAACTGAAACCAAGATTAAAAATGGATCAGAGCTCAAAAAGTTGCCAAAATGGATCTGTCACTTCCCAAGTTGGCACCTTCTTTGGTAAGGGAATTCGCTTTGGTGTTGGCTCCCGCCACAAATGCCGAAAGGAGGTGTGAACATGCATGCATAGATCAAATATTTCATCAATTTTGTACTCTTTGTCGCCAGGGGGAGGCACTGGATGCCCAAAATATCACATTTTTGGAGTCACCCTCTACAACTATTGAGCTACCTCGTCCAAGTTAAATCTTTTGAGGTCATCAAGTAGGGTCGAGGATTCGGCTATAGTGAAATCAGTGTGCCTGATGAAACCCGAATAGGGGGAAAGAGTATTACAGTTATGGTCTCTCTAACAAACCCCCATAATCCGCTGGACCCGGGTTTCCTAGGAAAAAGTATCACCATTTTCTTCTATTAATCGCCTACCGAATTTGAGGAAGTAAAAGAAGCAAATCAAACGAGTGATGCATACAATCGCGTTTGAGAAAAGGTTACAACTCAAAGATAGATCGGCTGTTTTAGCAGAAGTTCAAATGACACACTCGAAAAAATGTTTCTCAATCCGCACGGTTTGCTTTCAAATTTGATCTACTAATTCTCAACAAACTGAATGATAATACAATGAAGATGAAAGATTACATATAGTATATGCCTGCTGTTTAGTAGACTAAAACTTTCTACAAGAAATATACTTTAGCCTGAAATATGAGATATTCATCAGGTTTAAGTGCATGGCATAAATATTGAAATCTAGTTAACAAAAAACAACTTTTGAGAACACTTTACAGTGGGTCTAAATTCTGCTGGGTTCTCGCTCCGGTTTTTTTTTTTGGGTAATAATTTAAGTAAATGTATGTAGTGATTTACCAAAAAAATACGAATGGATTCAAGGCTGGTTGACTTGTGTGGCGGGGTGACATATGTGAGATATTGAGTTCTATTCCTACTACGGGTAAGGGACCCCTTCCCCACTAAACTACTGAAAAAAAAAGATTAGACTATTAAAGCACAATCCAGCCCAAGTTTAGAAATCAGGACCAACAAACTGGAGTGGGGAAGACTCAGCCAAGTTGTTTGAAAAATTAGAAAAAATAAAAATAGAAAGAGTTTGGCAAATCCCTACTTTTACTTTTCCTTGAGAAAAATTAAAAAATCTATGGAGCCCATAGTTGTAATGAATAGATATGAATATAAATAAAAGTAAGCAAAATTACAGTAACATCACTTATAATTATAGGAATTAAAAAGATGCCCCATTGGAATCGAGCTTCTGCTTGAGTAGTTAGCAGCTGAAGATTAGTAGAAGTAAATTGCAAGCTCGATTCCTACCACTACACTATCCAAAAAAGGAAACAAAGAAAAATACAGCTCATATCTCTTCTTTTAATCAACCGTGTCTTAATCAACCGTTTGAAACTGCTATTTCCAAGCTTATGGTTGCAGTTCCGAACAGGTGTCTTTTATCACTGGTTTGAAACAGCTCGTACCAAGCTTACGGTATCAGTTTCAAACCTGATGTCTTTATCAACCGTTTGAAACTGCTACCCCTATATAGCCAGTGAGAAGCATGGAGGTATTAAATTTGAGTTTAATCCAACCTATTAAAAAAAATATAAAATTAAAATACATTTTATATTCTGAAAAAATAATATTTAACTATAAAATATAAAGTTTCGGATAACATCTTTAAATATAAAAAATAAAATAGGAGCCATACATAAATTTCTCAAATATTTAATCGTTTTAAAATTTTATTTGAATTCTTCTTTTTCTTTTAATTTGGTATAGTTAGACTAGCCTAGTTGCAACTCTGACGCCTTACACTGTTCGACCCATCGGTCCGATTGTTTTTTAGAAATGGACCACACCAATAATTCTCCTTCCGATTTTTTAGACATGGACCACACCAATAATTCATGAAAACAAAGGTAATGTTGAGGATGGCCCCATAAAAAACTTGGTCCACGGGGATTCAATACTAATGTTTCCAGATTCTCTTTGGAACCCTCTTTGGTTTGGCTAAAACTTAAAAGAAATGAAGCAGTCGATGTTTCGGTCGACTTAGAAAAAATTTCAGGGTTTTTTTAAAATTAATATAAATAAAATATATCTTTATATATAAATATATATCAAAATAATAAAGATAAAATACTTTACAAAGTGGACGTTGAGCTTCGCTTTGGTTTAGATCAAAAAAATCCGAAGATTTCAGCCTTTTCAGCCGAAGCTAAGTGAATTTGACTATATTATTCAGCCGAAGCTAAGTGAATTTGAATATATTCTTCAGCCGAAGCAAAGTGAATTTGACAATATTGTTCAAGACAAAATTAAGTCTTCCTGACCCTATAACTCCCCTAAAATTCCTATATACCCTTAACACCCATGAAAATACTGGAGATATATTCAAGGTAGTTATAGATCCATTTCTGATACCAAATTTCAAAAGCACGGAAAAAAACAAAAGAAAAAATTACCCCAAAAACCATGAAAGCACATCAACAATGGGGAGAATGGGCACCTGTAGTTCCAATCCTGAACAGGAAAAGGACTGAATTCTTCACCCCTCCCCCCAAAAAAGACAAAAATGCCCCTATCCACCATGAACACACAGAAAATACTTGTGGAGAAGAGCACTTACAGAGCCAGGCGTGTATCCAGCGATATAGCTCTCTGTTTCTGGTTTCGACATCCGAGGCCTCATGAAAGGATCGCAAGAGAGATAGAGGTTCTTCACCAGAACAGCCTTAGATCCTTCTGGCACCTTGAGTTTAATGGAGCTTGACACCAATTCCATGTCTGTTTCTTTGGGAAAACCAGTCACATAGTTCTTCAATATGATCTGCTTGTTACTCACTTCTTCCCCAATTGCCATTTTTCTCCGCAAGAAAACCTAGTTCCCTCTCTCCCTCTCTAAATAAGAAAACCCACACCTTGGATTACAATGGCTCTTTCTGCAAATGAAATCACAGATATATTTATGGAAAAATTACAAAAAGCACCGTAAAGTGGTATAACCTTTTATGTAACTTTTTTTTTTAAAACAACCCTCAAGGTAAACCAAGATGTTATTTTTGGATGGAATTGCCCTTTCCGTATAAATCAAATCTGAAAATACCCTTTATGTACAAATCAAATCAATTTGTGGGTTCCCAATAGCATATTATTGGAGCACGTTTTTCCACTATCGAAGTACGTCTTTATTATTGGAGCACCTTTTTTCCACTATCGAAGTACGTTTTTCCACTATTGCTCCGACCTGCATTATTAGAGCGCACATTTCAAATACGCTTCTTTATATTAGCAAAGCACCGTCTTTTTTTTTGTTGAAGCGCTGTGGTTCTAGAGACTTTATTGTCGAAACACATTTTTACACTATCGAAGTGAGATCTTATAATGTTGGAGCACTACGGCTCAGACCTGCATTGCGGAAGCGTATATTTAAAATGTCGGAGTACTTGTTTATACTGTTGGAACACCGTCTTCCATTACCAGAGCGCTGTGGCTCCAGAGACTTTATTATAGGAGCAAGTTCTCATAATGCCGAAACGCTGCGGCTCAGACCTGTATTGCCAGAGTGTACATTTAAAATGCTAGAGCATGTCTTTATAGTGCCGAAGCTTATGTGAAAACAAATAAGAGTAGTTTAATCTTATTTCATGCAACTTTTTATTTAGGGGAGTTATTTGTTAAAAAAACATTGTTCAAGGGAAAAAAATGAAAGAAAAACTTATGGTGAGGTAAATTGCACACATAATCCCTTTTAAAAATATTTTTTATAATTCTCTCTATGTTTATTTCGCTCTAAAAAAATCGTACGTCACTCTTTGTACGCACTCACGCTCGATGTAAAACAAGTACACATGCATTATAAAAGAAAGAAGATTTCATAGGGCTATTAAAATAAAAAGATTTCATAGGGCTACCACCCAATTAAAATACGTAAAGCCTCACTTTAGAGTTTATTGGAAATTACAATTCAAGCATTCGGAAATATTTAAATCAATCTTGGCTTAAATGTCATGGTTCTGAAAAAATAAAAATAAAATTTTAAATTTTAAAAATATTGTATATTGTAATAAATCATCAAGATCCATTTCACTCAAAAATAAGTGTTCATAGATCTATAGAATCTGAACCTTGCTTTTGCCTTTCAAATTTGATTGTTAGTGTTGGCGAAAGGGCTTCCTAGAACTTTAGGAAGATTTGAAGTGAGGTTTTATTTTGTTTTCATGGTACTTGGGCCTTATAAAACCTCATCCAATAGAAAATGACCATTTTGTATCCTAATTATGGATAATACCCATTTTTCAATGGATAATTTGCCTCATCCAATAGAAAATGACCATTTTGTATCCTAATTATGGATAATACCCATTTTTCAATGGATAATTTGCTGTGTTTTGTGGGTCCCAACGTGCTCTTGAAAGAAGAAAAACATGTGGAGAAAAACGCCCTCCTCACACTTTAGTGAATGACGAAAATATTCCTGGCTCTTTTTTTTAAGATAAGATTGCGACGGCTGCGCCCTACCGAAAAGCATAAGGTTTCTTTGAAATGAGTGCCCTTTAAAAATTCAGATTTTGGATTATTAGACTAATTTTAAGGACATGTGATCTCTAATATGGGGATAATGGGTAGGAAAAAGTAAATAAATTTTAAAAATAAAAATTAGGGTGCGGTTTGTATAGAGCCTAGGCTCTAAACAATCAAATTAGAGCCTACCTTTAAATAGTATCGAGAAATGTGGTTTTAATGTTGAAAATCTTAGTGATCGCCTTAAAATATATTTTCATCTTTATTTATAAAGGTTAAAGTGTAAAAAATAGTGTAGATCGGTAGATCTATGAAAACTTGAAAATATTGAAAATTGACAGTCCAAAAATACGTTACAAAATACATTATTTCCGAAACTTGAAATCCATTTTTTTCTCATGTCCATGCATCTTGATGTCGAGATGATCAATTCGAGGATAATTGGGCATCAAAACAACCTCTTCTAGTGAAAATGTTGATGTAGGCTCTAATTTGATTGTTTAGAACCTCAGCTCTATATAAACTTTTCGCTAAAAAATAATAATATTTTGAAGAAACTATTTGGACAGTTAGTTTCAAGTGCTTTTAGATGGAACACCCATTCGTGGATGCTTTATACCTTCAGAGGCGCAAATGTAGGATTGCGTCCCCTTACTCATGATCCAATTTTCCAATAGACAACGATGATAGATTAGAAGAAGAACAAGTAGAAGGCTTAAGTGTAAGGGTGAGGTATAAGGTGCTCATCTTATACTATACAAGTACTACTTATCTCTTTGTTTTACTTGGAGATATAGTTTTGGTGTCAACAACTTTATAATTGCTTAAAAGTTCATGTTCATCACTAATTATGAAATTTAAAATTCTAAAAATATTGTACATCGAGCATATTTATGAACGTTTGAAAATCTTGAAGATAGTCCAGATAACTTGCTACAATATGTACTATTTTAAGATCTTTCCATGCATTCTTTTTTTAGAATTTGAATATATATATATTTTTTCAATATCCATGCATCTTAGGATCGAGCTTATCAATTGGAAGATCTTACCAACTTTGAAACACTGTGTTCTACTAGATTTTTTATTGCACCTTAATTATATAGAATTGCAAACTTCGATAAACATGTTCCTTATTTAGATTGTCTATTTTTAAGTGTATTCATTTTATAATCAGGGGTAGAAATTGATTTCAAAACCATTACAAGGCTTTTTCATTACATTTTCTGGTGGGATTTTGAGATGCAACTTTACTTTTTGATGTAAAGCATAGGCACTGCACCAAAAAAAAATAAAATAGAATGCATACAAAGGGAAAGAGTTTCATAGGGTCATGGCTTCTTAAGGATATCTGAAATCTTGATGGACAATACAGTTTTGATAAACCGTGAAATCAGTCATCCAGACCTCAAATAATTATGCGTATGAAATTCACGCCATGAAAATAGTGCATATTATGGTACATTTTCTGATCCATCCATTTCGAGTGTTCATGAATACCCCAAATCTGGACTTTTTTTTGAAGGCCCACACTTGATAATCAAAGTAAGAAATAGATTTCCAGACATTAGAAAGGAACGCATTGGAGTTGGTGGGGTTTGAAGTTCAGACTCAATGAATGTCGTAAAGTCGCGGCCGCACAAAATTGCTACGTTGAGGAGCTTATAATCTGATAATTTTTGTCCCATCCCATTGGAAAAAGGAAAAAGTTATATATAAGTATGCAATGCACCTCAAAAATCCATCGGATATGAAAAACCCTTTAATTGACCATCTCGACATCAAGATGTATGAATATGGAAAAAAAAAAATTTGATTTTGAGTCTCGAAAATAGTGCATATACGACGCATTATCTAGACCGTCCGTTTTCAAGATTTTCATATGTTTATAAATATACTTGATTTTAACCATTTTTGGAGTTTAAAGTTTTATAAATTCATATGAAAATAGATTTTCAGATACACCTAAGAATTTTTTACACCTAATTTCCAGGTTATGATAAAATTTGGAGGTGTACCTTAATTGGATTGTTTAAGGTTGCAACCTTACAGATACCACGCATGTAGACAAAACAGTTCTACCCAAAGGAGTGAATTTGATATAGCTTAGCAGTTTCTTTAAGGCTATATCGATTAAACGAAGGCTATACAATACTAAAGACCCTAAAAGACGTATACCGATTAAACGAAGGGTTCAGGATTGCCAATGGCGAACAACACTCAATTAAGGGATTTCAGGCCAGAATCAACTAGAAACTTTTGACTGACGGGACTAAGGGACGAGATGAAATAGTGGCTTTCGGCGCTGTCCCTTGTCACGCCTTTTCTTTTTTCAGTCCGGTGTTATTCTAGTTCTTGTTGTAAGCCTAAGCCTAATCATTTTTTTCGTCTGATTGAATTCTCTCTCGCTACAGCTACGAAAAAGAAAGACTTCGTAACAGGACTCAAGTGGCCCTTGCATGACTCCTTTACATGTATTGCTTGAAATTTTTTGGGAGGCAGGGTTGTGGTAGATTTTGCTAACAACATCCGTACCACCATAGGGCCAGTGACAAAACCAAGCATATTTCCACTACAAGTCCCCCAAAGCCACCGCAAAATTCTCTCAAATTTGCTACAGTTCATCACCGATGCAAATCGGAGTAAATCTATTTCATAGAGGGGTGAAATGACCAAAACATTTCTTGCATGAGCTCCTACAACAATTTTCCCCGGAAGTTTCATTTTGTATGAGTTAATGCAAGAAATTGCTATTTCCCCTTGAAGTTTCATTTTGTAGGAGTTAATGCTACAAAAAATTGTTTTGTTTGGGCCGGGGGCCATGCTGCCATCTAAACCATATGATTCCACATCCAAAAAAAGAACCGGACCGGACAAAGTAAGGAGTGCATGAGTGGGGTTTGGCTCATAAGTAGGAGAGTAAAGAAATGCTAATTTCATTCAGAAATACACGAGCGATGTTTCACAACACATTATTTAAAGAGAAAATTACGTACATATATGTTATAATTTGCGTTATTACAAAACTACCGAATAGTTTTCGTTATTATCTATTTATCCGCTTTTTGCATATCATAACGAAAATTTTAAAAAAGAAGAAGACAATTTTACTTTTTTTCGGTTGTTGAACAACCAAATTCAATCGATTATCAGACCAATTTTGGTTTTTAAAAAATCGAAAATTCATTTTTGGTTCTTCAAGAACCGAATTTTTTTTCTATAGGTACTCCCTTTTTTCGGTTGTTGAACAACCTAATTCAATGGATTTTTGGTTGTTCAACAACCAAAATCCTCTATACCCTTCTTCACCCACGCTTTACCTGTATTTTTCCTTTAAACTCTATAGAAAAGAGTTTAAACCCACCCAATGTAAGGTATAGAGTGATAATGGATAAACATGGGAGAATTTAAACTCTTCCCTACATTTATCCATTCTCTCTCCTATGTTTATCCATTCTCTCTTTGTACCTTACATTAGGTTGGTTTAAATGTTTACCCATTCTCTCTCCTATGTGGGTTTAAACGTTTATCCATGTTCTCTCTTATTTTTATCCATTATCCGTTCTCTCGATACCTTAGGGTCTAAACTCTTCCCTATGTTTATCCATTCTCTCTACAATGACTAATCTATGTGGATAAACATCGGGAAGAGTTTAAAGGGAAAAGACGGGTATAGAAGATTTTGGTTATTCAACAACCGAAAATCCATTGAATTCGGTTGTTGAGGGGAGCACCTACGAAAAAATTTAAAATTTTCAGTTTTTCAAAAACGAAAATTGGTCGAATTTTGATTGTTGAACAACATAAAATCGATTGAATTCAATTGTTCAACAACCAAAAAAAGGTAAAATTATCTTTTTAAAAAAATTTCGTTATGACATGAAAAAAACAGACAATAGGTAATAACACAAACTATTTATAACGAATATGTACGTAACTTTAACTTATTTAAATGGTGTACTAATGTGTTGTCTTAAATGCCAATTTTAAAATTAGCGTTTCTAACAATCATCTCCTATAACATAAGATCAAATGTAATAAAAATCCATCAGTAGTTTCAGCTGGTTACATTCCAACGGTGGCAAAGATGCAAACTCAATACTCCTCTTTCAGCTCTAAACAAGTACCAAGCATCTAATATAATATGCTATAATTTGAGCTCAATACATTTTACTAGCACTCCACCAACAATTAAATGTGTGCAAATAATGGTTATTTTGGCATTCCTCAAACAATTTATTGATTGAAAAGATATCAAAGTGAAGAAAATAGCACAATAGGAGGATGACATTTTGATCGTTATATTTATGGATGGTAAAATGACAATCTTGGATTTTAAACTAAAATTGGCTAGAAAGCCACAATCAAAGAAAATTTGAACTTTAGGTCCAAATTCCGCTAAACAAAAAAAAAAAAGGCCTAACCTCTCAGACAGAACAACACATAGAAGCTCATATACTATGCCTTTAACACATGGACAAAACCAACACAAAGGGCTCACATAGAAGCCTCAACCCAAACTACATATGCACAATATCAATGTTGCAAGCCTTTACATGAAGAGATATAATACCAACACTATCTTTTTGCCAGGTAACAACAGTAACCACATGCATTATTCACAAGAAACCAGAACTATTTGTTTGCCGATATTCTTGCCAGTGAAGAGTCCAATGAGAGCCGAGGGAGCATTCTCGAGACCTTCTACAATGTCTTCAACATAAACTATCTCCCCCTCCTTGATGCGCCTAATAGTGGCCTCTAGGAAGTAAGGGTACAAGTCCCAAAAATCAAATACCATGAACCCTTTCATTTCAATGCACTCCAATACAAGGCAAAAGAGGTTCTTTACAATTTCTGGCTCATCTTTGTTGTATTGAGAGATCATTCCACAAACCGAGATTCGGCCGTTGTCTTTCATGTTTAAAAGCACAGCATCAAGCACGACTCCACCAACATTACCAACATTATCAAAGTACATGTCTATGCCTTCAAGGAAGTACCTGACAGAGATATTGACAATCGGATTTGATCTTTTCTACTTCTAAAAGGGGGGGGAGAGAGAGGGAGAGAGAGAGAGAAAGAGACTTTATTTGATTCTCATCAAGACCGGTGGCTTTGTCCTAGTTCTCAAGGTTGTAAATTCAAATATGATGCTTGCCAATAAATCATCATTCTCCCTCAAGCCAGACAAGGAAAGGACTGAAGTTGAGATTTGGAAAAAAGTTGTATTGGCTTTATGAGGTTTGGAGCTCTTTGTGGATGAGTTTACTTTTTAATTTTGCCAAGTACTTCATTTTCCTTTATGTTTTCATAAGGCCTTATATCGAGAGAGAAAATAAAAGAAGCCATTTTCAACTTGGACATAGACAAAGCTCCAATGGCAAAAATCCATCCTCTCTCCTAGTGATTTGGGTGTGCTATCTCAAGGCTTTAGGTAGGTATTTGTTTTTAGAATTTCACCATCAAATTTAAAATGGTACTGAGAATTAATACAATATACATAACCATTCAAAAAAAAAAGTGTTAATGCAATGTATATTTTATTGACTCTTTCACACTTTGGTCCTACAAATTATTATTTATGCAAGAAACTTTTTCCAAAACTTGCTCTATTGAGGGAGCCTATGAATGGCACGGGTGCCACCCATTAGAAAATTGCAGTTTGTAGGGATTGCATGGTATTCAGTGTACTCAGTGTCAACCGATCTACTCAGCCTATGGGCAAGGTGAGTTCTGCCTGAGTGAGCGGTTACCCAACCCCCAAAACAAACACGACTCTCATTTATTTTTTTGTAAAACCCAAAAAAAATGGTAGTTTAAAAAAGTTCCAGGGGAAAAATCAAACTTAGTGCAGAGGGGAATACAAACGATAGCAATCCTAACCAACCCCGCATTTTGCGTTTGATGTAAGAAATGGAGAGGTTATATATTCCATATTTATTAATTTTGTCATTATTTTTATTTTTTAACTTGGGATGGACTCGGGTGAGCCAATGGGCGAGTACATTAGCCGAGTTGATTTGTATGGATTATGTTCCCCATACACTTCATTCTTGTTGAAGTATCGCATGCCAACAAATGTCGATAATTGAGAACCGTATTGACATTTCAGCCAGATACAGGGATGTTAAAACGAAGTGTATAGTTCACAAGGGTGGAGTTTGCACTCAAGATGTCCAATGCCAAGTTTGAGTGGACTGTTACCATACCAACCACATCCAAGTGTGATAAATATGTGTATATACATTACAAATTTATTATCTTATTATAAAAATATCCATATAGGCATGTCTTGCTATATTCACTTTTAGGTAGAAGCTCTAGACACTTTGACACTCATCAGATCCGGACGACTAAGTCAGTATCTAGGTAACATTGGGCCTGACGTTGTTTTAATTGTATAGAATAACTGCTATTGACACAATAAATGTGTGTGAACCCATACAAATCACCTCCATACAATTGAGATAATGTTTCATTGGCCATTGGCAAATGACAAACATGCACTGCCCCAAAAATGATAGCCCAAGAAAGTGAGGGAAAAGAATATTCAAAACGGTTGAGATGCAACTAAATAATTAGAAATGCATTTAGAAAGTAACTCAATCAACTGATAAGCCTATGTTGCTGACCTAAAATAGTTTACATTTCATGCTTGATGACACGGGTTTGCCCATCATATAATGGGAGTGTCTAGAAAGAAATTTTGTGCATGGAGGTTACAATTATTCCCACTCATTAGATGTCAAATTGGATGGCTTGGAGTGAGTGACGCAATCTGAGAATTGTTTTTTTTTTTGGGAACTTTGTATCTATTTAATAATACTACTACAACCACCCATTTTGAAATTTAAAGAACAAAAGTGATTGTGACCTCCATGTACAAAAGATAAATGGTCTCTTTGTAGACAATCCCTTATATAATATGAGATCAATTGTGAAAAAGTTGGCGTATCTTTGCAATGCAGCAGCCAAGTCATGCTCTAAAGCTCCATCAAATCCAAACTTGGACTTCAATAGATCAACCTAGAAGGGCCATAGGTTTAATGTAAGTTCACTAATTCTCACACCAATTAAGATTAACAGTAAAATTATGCTTCATTTTAATGGTAGAGAAGATAAAACTTAATAGCAGCTTACCTTTTCATTGGACCCAGCACTACCAACAACATAGCAGCCTATTGCTTTCGCAAATTGGCCAACAAGTTGGCCAACTGCTCCTAATGCTGCTGAAACATATACACATTCTTCATTTATAAGCGGACGGCTCTGAAAAAGCCCTACATGTGCTAACAACCCAGGCATACCTAAAGACAATATGCAACAACGAAAGATCTTTAATATTCTTGTCTCCAAACAAGAAGATGCTCAATTACCCAAAAATGGTAAGGAAAAGACTCTCTCTCTTTCTCACACACACACACATACATATTAAGAGAACAAAAACATGACAAAGGATTAAATAAGCCAAAGTGCCAGACAAACAAAGAAGACTCCGCACATCAAGAGGACTTAGCAGCACCCCATCTAGTGAGTTGAGGTTGAGGTTGTCAGCCTCAGAATTTGCACCGCTAAGAGTTACATCGAAACAAAATACCAAGAGATGATGAACGAGGCATAGTACTTGTGACTTATACTATTCACAAATCTAGTTTCTCGTGGCCTCATATGATCCACAACCATCATTAAATGCAAAGCATGAAAACAAATTTTGAGAGAACTAATTTACGAGTATCAATCAATGCACTAGACACAGAGACAATATTCTAGAATAATAGATAATAAAAAGTGCGAGTTTTTAAGTCCTATTTAATAAACTGCTACATCTCTTGTATCCAAAGAAATTGAGCTAAAATTTCGTTAAAAAACTTGGTGACATGTATCTATATCAAATGCCTTACAACTGCTAAGGTTTTCATAAAATAGCACATCTGCAACACCTTATAATTCTTTCAAGGAAGTTCTAAATGAACTTCAACTTTTAATATTATTCTGACGGTTCTATAGACATTAGCCTTGTATACCAAACTTTTAGACAATTGTTCCACTAATAGTTACATATGGCAAGTTTCAGCATTTAGTGACAAACACAATGACACCCAAAAAGAAAATAAAATTTTCATTAGCAATCACAAAAAAAGCAAAGATATATAGAGATATAAGAAGAATATGAAATATTTATGTGAAAATATAGAAATACAATTGGTAAAATGGGTATATATGAAAATAAAAAGTTAGAAATAAAAGTCTCAATTGTGTCCATTATAAGGCGAAAGGGATGTGGGGAGTTCATGATGAAAATGTTAATGGCCATACAACAAGTAGTTAATTAAGATTAGCAAGATAATATCAACTAAGATAGCTCAATTCAAATGATATCATAGACAAAAGGAAGATGGAAAGGGCAAAAGAAAAATACCTAAAATGCCAGTGTAGTAGGAAAGAGGTACATTAATGTCAGTGATTTTTCTAAGCGTTTCAAACTCGCTCATTGTTATCAAGCTGAATTCTTCCCATCCAGTCCCCAAACCAAGTCACCTTCCTTAAAATCGGGGTGCCCGGAATTCAGGAATTCAGAAACTCCTGGATTCCAAATATGTCACATAAGCTAAATTACAAAAGTAAATAAAATCCGATAATGATTTCACCATCTTCTACTGATAATAGCATACTAAATAGTAGAACTTGAGATAAAAAAACCAAATAGAGATGCATAAAGACTATCAAGAGATCCAGTTAATTTCACATTCGTATAAGACAATTAACAACCAGAGGATGGATGGATTGAGCTACTAGGGACTGTTCACATGCATAAATTGGCAAAATTTGGTACCTTTATGCAGTAGAGCTAATGGTTATGGTGTAATATATTGCTTTATCTTCATTCGGGTTTAAGCTATTCAGCCTCAATACTCTAAACAAATCTAATGTAAATGCAAAAGAAAGTGCTGCCATTATCCCATTTCCTAAAATATATTTCTTTTGTTTAGGCATAGAACTTCTTAAAAGATAGGAAAACTTCCGCATTATGTGTACCATAAATTGAGTAGCCTGTCAAAATCTATATGTGCAAACTATATGCAAAACAAATGAGAATTTGAAAATAGTCCTGATAACTGACGAAGTCTCCATTTCTCCCATTGTCTCAGAGAGAAGGCTATAGCACTCAACAAAAATTCAATCGGGACAATTATATGTTCAAAGTACATCATGTTCATAGCAGTTAACTGTTACATGTAGTTGCATCAATGTTTTTAAAATTATAAACAATTTTGAGTAAATTTTGGAGAAAAATTTCTGACATTATGTAGAATTCTAGATGTGTTTCTTACTTTGTTGTTTTCAAGAAAAGTTTGTAAGACCCGTTTTTCCTTCCATGAGATTTACTAGAGTTAGAAACCCGGCACTTTTCTTGGAAATGCAATGATCATATCTCGTTCAAACATAGGGAGGAGTGGAAATACTCCATAGATGAACAACACACAAAATTCTCGGGAAAAAAAAAGGAACTATTTCATCCAGGTTATAGTTTGAAACACCACTTCACATTTTCCTACGTGATAGATATGATTTAAAAAATAAGATGTATTATAAATCGGTCATAAAAATCATTACCTCATTTGTCTTCCTTTGGATATGGTTGAGACTTTGAAAAGCCCACCACACTAAAGAACTCATTAGGCTCTCTATGATTCGGACTTGGGCTAGATTGGTGAAGATTTTAACAATGCAACATTATGCCCTTAGTTCAACTCCTACCGCTAAACTATCCATATATAAATATAAAATTTAAAAAAAAGCATGAAAAAATGAACTATGTAACATAGTTATCAAAACAGGATCAAGTTGTCGGATCTGACCATTTAGACTGTTAGGTCTGACCAATTGGGCCGCCGGGTCTAACCAGTTGGTGCCTTGGCCGGTTTGATCTAAAGTGATAAGCAAATTTGGTCGAGAATCGGTCAAAACCAATATCTAACTGAATTTGGCAAGGCGGATCCCTCAGTTTTGTCTAGTCAGACAAATTAAACACAGTGGGCAATATTTTAATATATCTCATGTTTTTCAACTAATATTCAGATCTTTTCTTTATTCTTAAAAATATGGTCCCACCAGTCTGACTAGCAATCAAATTGATTTTGATTGGATCAAATTCCTCACTAAGCCTGCGGTTGATGCGATTTGGATAACACTACTATGTAAGGTTCTTAATCCCATGAAGGTTATTAAGATCACCAAGAATCAACATCAATAACATTCCAGTTCCCTCAAAACAACCTCCAACTACTTAGCTTAACAAGGATCATTCACAACCAAGAGAGAAAGAGGAGCAACAAAATCAATTAATTGCAGCTCAGCCACATCAGCATGAGTCCTCGAAACACAAATGCCAAATATATCATTGTCCAACCAATCCATTATATTATTGTACAGTAAAGACTCCACAACCACAACATTGCCAAGGTCATCAAGCTTACAGCATAATTATCAAGATCAAACCGGTGCTTGAATCGATGAAGGGGTTGTTCCAATCAAAACCACTCCAACCAGCGGTTAAACCGGTCTAACCTTTTTCTCATTATATAAAAAGATTAGAAAATTTATTAAAATCTTAAAAATTCATTGAGAAATAGAAAAAATGCAAGTTAACTAATGGGAAATTAGTAAGAATAATAAATTATTTTAAAAGATATTGTAAAACATTAATTCTTTGATAAGAAAACATTGCATTTTAAAAATTAATAAATTACCATGATTAACATTGGTTAATAATTAAATGCTGCAATTTACTTAATTAAATGTTGCATTTTATTTAAGTAATGTGTAAATTAATCATTAGTAACTAGTTAAGCATTACATTTTATTTAATTAAACATTGTATTTTGTTTAATTAATAGCAAGGTGCTTATGGAAAGCTTTTTCTCTTTCCATATTACATGAGAAAACTTACAGAGAGAGAGAGAGAAGAGAGAAAGAGAGAGAGAGAATACAATAAAAAGTAAGATTTTGAAAAATATGACATTGTGTCTTTCAAAAAAAGTAAAGCAAGACAGTTTATTTTTTACCACTTTTTGTTTTTGGATATAAAAAGTTTCCATGTAATCAACAAAAAAAATAAAAAGAAAGAAAAATATCATATAAATTGACAATAAATCTGAAAAAAATAGAATTTTAGCTCAACTTGCCAAACCGGATGGACCAATAGAATCGGAAAAACCAGCAACCGAACTGGTTCGATTGGTCAAATGCCAGTTTTGACCTGTTCAATTCAAATCCCGGTTTAGTACTTGCACCAGTTCTACTGGTCGGACCGCCAATCCGTCCCGTTGTAATAACTTTGCGTTACAGTATACTTTCTTTAAGAAATAGCATTTACCCATATAGTAGTCCGGAGGAATACAATATAAAGTACTCCACTGAGGCACTTATTGTTGATGGACGATAGAGATCCATGCCTCAACGATCGTTGAGGTGGGCCCCATAATGGTTAATCTCCACTGTCCCCTCAACAAGAACCAATAGTTGTTGCCCCATTGATAAACAAAGGAAATTGAATATATATATGGAAATTTTTTTAAAAAAATGCCTATATGCAAAATGCCACAGTGTTTTGCCTCCGTCACTGCCTTGCTATGTTCGTGGCGGTTTATTGAACGGACCCGCAACGGACAATGCCGTTCATTGCGGTTCTGCGTAAATTTTTGGATCGCCGCAGACCTAGTTTGTCCGTGATAATACCCGCCACGGACCTAGTATGCCCGTGATAGTACCCGCCATGGACCTAGTATATCCGTGATGGTACCCGCCACGGACCTAGTATGTCCATGACGGTACCGGCCACGGATATGCTAGATCTGTGGCAGTCGAAAACGCACACTGTCCGATTTTTTTAAACGGCGATTGACCTATGGGCAAAATCACTAATCACTATAGCATTTTTATATATATGGGAATGGATGTTGTCAGCCCACAGGCTGATTGCTACAGTGGGCTGATCTGACGGCCACTATTTTATTTCGTATTTGAATTTTTCATTTTTTTTTATAAATCCAAATCATTTGAAAATTTAACCGTACATTCTAATCATAAAGGCGCACCTAATAAAAATATAAAAAATAATTCATAAACTATAAATTGATCAAAGTACCTTGGAAAAGTTTTCGGGTATTTTGGTCTATTTATATTTTTTGAAATATTTTTTAATATTTTTATTAGATTCTACTATTTTTAAGAATAAACGTTCAAAATTTCAAAATGAGGTCGTGACCATTAGATTGGATCCAGATTCAATCTGGGCCGTTGAATGACACTCTAGTTGTTAGCCCAAGGGCTGACAGAATCTTTTCCCATATATAAATATATATATAAATACCATAAGCTAGAGACCTACACCTGTTGACATACAAATGGAAGAAGATGCTATACAACATGCAGTATCATACTCAGGCAGATCCATAGTAAATTGGCAAATAGATGGATTATCAGAATTAAAAATATTAGATGTTATGCGACATATGACAATGTATGCCTCTGCAAATAAAATGGCAGGCAACCCTGATCAAGAGGTTGCAAAAGCAATAGTTAATTGATTTACTGGCTGGTTACGAGGCTGGTGGGATTTTTATGTAGATAATGAAACCAAACAAAGAATCCTCAATAATACTAGACAATGGACCGCCAGAAATGAACAAAACCAAGAAATAATTTATACAGAGAGTGATGCTGTCAACACTCTCATCTATACCATTACACTTCACTTTGTAGGCAATACAACATTATTAGCAGCTAGATCAGAAGATCTGCTATCCAATTTACGTTGTCCTACTCTATCTCATTATAAATGGTATAAAGATGTATTTTTCTCAAGATTACTTATAAGAGAAGATTGTCAGCTAGACCACTGGAAAGAGAAATTTATAGCTCGTCTACCATATTTATTAGCAGAAAAGGTCAAAGAAAGACTGCGAAAGAAACATAATGGAATTATAGTATATTCATCATATACATTAGGAGAACTCTCTGCAGAACTATGTGCTGAGGGACTAGCCCTATGCACAGATATGAAATTCAAAAGATAATTAGATAAACAAAAAATCACTAAGCGAAAAGAACTTGGTGACTTTTGTGAACAATTCGGATATTATCTTGATAAGAAAAATATGTCTGACAATTTATATAAGAAAAAGAAAAAATAAGAAAAGGAAAAATATAAATCTAAAAATAAAGATAAGAGAAAATATTATAAAAAATCTAAAAGAAAACTAATTAATAAATTTCCCCCAATACAAAGGGAAAAAGAAAACTACCAGTATGTTGTAAGTGTGGTAAAGTAGGACATTATAAATATCAATGTAAATTAAAAAAGAAAATAGAATCATTACATTTAGATGAAACAATAAAATCAAAATTATATAATATAATCAATTATGATTCTTCGTCCTCTACTTCTACTAATTCTCATATAGATCAAAGCCAAGATGATGATCTTATGTGGACAGACTCTTCTGATTCCACTAATGTTTCAGATACAGAATCATCCAGTTCAATACAAGATAATGCTTGTAGTTGCCCCATACCAACAC